GACTCACTTTTCTACTAGCACACACTTTACATCTCTTTTAGGACAGTCACTCCCACATATCCCTGTGGTAGAACAAATGATTCCATTCAAATCAAGTTCAACCAATTGAGGAGACAGAAGGCGCCTATGGGGAATCCTATTGTCCCCAAGTCCATCCAGCTTGCAAGAGAGGAGGCCCACCAGTTGATTGGAATAAAGGCAAATCTTGGTACTGGAGAGGAAATATTTGATCCAGTGAAAGGTTACATAAATGATGAGGATGTAAAGGTCTTGGAAAAGGCTTCCTCTTCAAAATCAACCAACACATCAAGACTACCAACATGACCACCATTGACGTTGGTGATGAACACATTGTTGTGACAGAATAGAGAGATCCTATGGAAGGCTGAAGAAGGAAATTGCTGAACAGGATGCTGCTCTTGTGGAGTATCTCATGCAACAGGACAGGAGGGAAGCTGAAAGAGACAAGGACGCTGATGAGAGGGAGAAAGCAAGAGTGCAGAGGGCCAATGAGCAAAATGAGAAGTGGCTTACCTCCTTGGCTCAAACGTTCAAGTCAACAATGGCAATGGCGCTTGCTGGTAATAGTAACAAGCGCCATTGCACCAGTGCTGCTAACAGTAAATCCCATGGTGAAAGCAACTAATTCCAATCCAATTCCAATCTTCTAGTTAGCTACAATTTAACAATAAAAATTTTAACCAGCAGTTAAACAATACAGCAAAACTCAAAATAATGAGCAGCACTGTGAAAACGGGTAGTAGCAGACAATTAGTTGCTGATTACACATTAGATCGTGTTCTTCTCAATTTTGCTGATAGTACCAACAAAAACCGGGATCAGAAATCACATGTGGCGCAATTCCACGAACAAGGTTTGGTTTCAAATCACATGCACTGTTTGCATACCTTATCTTCATTACAGAATATATTGAGACATCGAATTGCTCTGTCTTTGTGTTTAGTGAGATATTAATCTTCATTACAGTATATTCTGGTTTGAACCATTCCCACAAAGGGCATGCACAAAAACCAAGCACTCCCACAAAGGGTATGCACAAAAACCAATACTGCTACTAGCATCACAGAAAATCACGGCAAAAATTTCAAATAACACAGTCAAAATCAGCAAAATTGAGAACAACATGGTCTAACGCCTGAAAACAAGGAGCTTGTTGTCTGCTGTAGATGCTCATTATTTTGGTTACACTGCATGTTGAAACTCACGATTCTTCATCAAACTAAACACATCTCAACCACACTAACCAACCCCCTCCCCCCCCCACCAGCATGGTGGACACTACTAATGCTGTAGGTAGGTTCTTGCGTTAATTGTTGCTGTGTTTAATCATTGCTGTGTGGTATAATAGTTGCCATGTTTAATCATTGCTGTGTGATATAATCATCGTTGCCATGTTTAATCTTTGCTGTGCCAAATTGTTGTCATCAAATTTTACACTAGAATTGAATCAATCTAACTGATTGTTTGCCAATTAATTCAACCACACCAGCCAATTGACCATGGAATTCATCCAAACAACGCATTATTTCCAACTGGAGATACATTCCTTCCTTCATGGAAGTATCCAACAGCAAGGTCCTGAAGTTGATGCAGCTTCTCCATTGCCCTGTGCATCACGGACGCCAGTGGCATCTTCATTCTTAAAACTGTCAAGATCTGATTGTGCTCAATGGCACTGCACTGGTAGTTGTACAAGTTGACCAGCAAGTAAATAATGATATTCCTCTCTCCAACGTCCTCCAATCTAAGCCTATCCTTTGTCCTAGGGAACTGTCCTTGGATCATCCTCATCCCCCACTCAGACATCTGTCTCAGTGATGTGGCGTCCCTATTTACTACTATCCAGAACTCTCTACTGGCTTATAAAGGCACACTCTGTCAAAACACAAATGGCTTGCAACAGAAATATCAGGCCAGAGTAGTTGCATATCAGTGTAACGGTCTTGCTGCATGTGGTTTCCTTTCCATCTAGCTCTATAATTAACATCATCCTTCATGTCTGCAAACTGAAATGGAAACCTTCCTAACAGAGTGTGTCCCCAACCTGCCTTGCTTTTCTTTACAAAATGCACCATTTTTCCAAACATATCTAGTTAGGAATCCAGAATATTGTTTCTTGCCACATTCAATCTCTCTTTTTCTAATTTTCATTGGTGATCTCCTTTCCTTGCCAAGATCTCGTGTAGTCTCCAGCTTGATTACAGCAATTAAATTATTCACTTTGGGAGATTGGGTTGGATTACCATGGCCAATTTCTTGAATCACCCCCAATAGAATTTTTTTATACTCTATAGTAGTCAAACTAACAAATATAGGGTGGTCATCAGGAGACAGATCTTTCTTCTTGTAAGAAGCCTGTAGAGCAAGGAAATGATACAAATGTTCAGGAGTGAGGTTGCCAAGTTCAGCATCAGTGAATACATGGTCCCTAGCATATCTTATATCTTCATTGGGAGGATTATCTCTTCTCCCATCTCTTCTTCCATGTACAAAATCGATGAAATAAAAGAATATTTTCCAAAAATCATTCTACTGGTCAGGAGGAATATTCACACCTGAAGGAGGTTTAAGAGGACCTCCACTACAAGGCCTGGATTGTTGACTTGTTGTAGTAGTGCTGGTATTGTTGTTATCATTATCAACACCCTCATTATTAGTACTGCTGCTGGCAGGGACCTCTTCCTCATTGTTATTCTCATTGTTATTACTAGTACCGCTGTTGACAGCGAAGCGGCTGGCGGCGTCCATGCTGGTGGTGGCAACACTGTTCGCTTTTGCATCATCCATTGCTCTAATAAGCTCACTCAACAGAGCATCTTCAGTGACATCTTCTTGTTCTTCTTCACCAGCTATATTTCCACCAGTATCTTGCACTGGTGCTGCTGCTCGACAACCTTGTCTGTGTCCTGCACGTCCTGCACATCCTGCACATCCTTGTCCTGGTCCTGGTCCTCATCCTGGTCCTCATCCTGGTCCAATTTAAAGGAACTGTGGTGTTTATAACTTTATCAAAAATACTGCTACATCTGTTCCTAAATAATGGTGCAGTTTACCCACCCCTATTTTATTTTTTTCCAAAATAATGGTGCAGTATTTACTTAACAGATTTTGGAGTGTCTGGTCCTTGGATTCTGCAAATGACTGTGTATGACTGTGTATATCACATGGAATCAGTACTGTAGATAAAAAATGAGCATGCTCGTGAATAAAAATTATTTTCTTATTTTCACACATGAAAATACACTATATTAACACAGGAACTCTAAAGTTCTCATTGACAATGGTACCAAGCACCTCTTTTTAATAAAAATGACAAATTTAAGAAAGTTCTCCCTACTAATGAGAATACAAGGTAGGAAGGCAAATGAGGTCAAGACAGGTCCGGAGTTGGTACAAATTGCACAGGGCCCTATCGAGGGAACAATAGGCTCCATTTGCCTTCCCAAGTTCAACCTGTCTCACTTTCAAAAAAAAATACAATAACTATAAAATGATGAACAGAATGAATTGCTTTTGGTTTTCCAGTGCACCCACCGACCCCTGAAAGAAAACACACATTTGTGCTCTTCATTGTTCTTGGTTCCCTTGCTGAGATCTTGTAATCTTCCCCTGGACTCCCTTATCTTTAACAAATCAGGTGGTGAATGTGTAGACTTTTGTTGAAAAGTGAAAAAAGATTTTCATCTCTTTGGAGTTTTTTGGTGTTCATGAATGGAACAAAGAGAAACTTCATTATTTTAGCGCATTTTTTCATTGCCATCAACAAGCAGCATTCGGCATCTTTTAAATCATCAATGTTACTACCGTCAATTTGGATCCCTTCAAAGCTCTCACTATTTGGAAAATGTAAACAAGTATTCAATGGAATAGCAGATCTCTTGTGGTTTGATGTTTTTGTGTTACAGGGTGCGGAGTTAACCAAATATTGTTCTTTCTTCTTGGATTTGCCATTTTTGTCGTAAAGCTACTAGTGCTACTAGTACTATTAGTACTAGAGAAGAAATCATTACAATCCTCTTGTTGCGAAGTAATTTTCAATGCTGCCAATTTGGTTGTTCATCAATGGTAAGAAAAATAATAGCCAGTGCTCTAAATGCAAAGTCAGTGAATGAGTTAATGAACCATTCTATATTTCCAAGAAGGAAACAAACAGTGCTTGGATCCTGAATTTTCTTCTGGGTTCAGTGCCATCATTCTCCAGATCATGATGATGTGATGCTCATATCTTCAAACTTTAGATATGTCCTTTTTGTCAGCAATGTTTCTAGTTTCACAAGTGTAAGATGAGTTAAGTTCTCTAAATATTACTACTGTTCGTCACCTGGGATACAAACAAAAGTCCATCATTGCAAAGATTGAGTTTTCATTGCCTGCATAGTCTTCGGCATCAAAATCACCCTGTCCAAATTTATTATACAACTCGTCAAGATCGCTTGTTCCAGAAAAATGCTGTTCGAAAAATTTGTGTGCCAAAACTAGACAGTCCAAGAGAATGTTGGACTCGTTCAGGTCGTCCACATTGCCAACAATCTCGTTCATTAGAGAACTGTATTGCATTGCCGCCTTTGCCGTCATAGGGTTTTCCCATTCCATCCATTTGCATATTTTGCGTATTAATTTATCGCGCTTCAGTATAACTGGGTTGGAATTCTTTTTCTTCGGTGTCGATCTCTTCGGCTCCCAAAGGTTCTCCTTGTTTTCTTTGTCGAGACCAAAATCAGTGTGGCTCTGGTCTCCCTCGATCGGTAAAGCACTAGAAAGACATATCTGACGAAAGGTTTTTGCGTCGGCCTCTTCTGACATTTGGAATTTTGTAAACAAGTCGCAGTCGAGGGCCTGACGAGCGGTCCATCGCTTTTTTGGGTCGGTTTCAAGCAAACCACGTAGCAAAGAAGGAAAGGGTTGTCCCTCCGGCAAACGCTCGAGACTACCCGACACGAATGCAATGGCGGCCTTGTCTCTGGTAGCGTCGATGCATTTCCCTTGCAAGAGTTCTAGCAACACCACCCCGACACTCCACATGTCGGACGGTAGTCCGTAGGGCTCTTCTGCCACGACTTCGGGGGATTTATAGGTGGGTGTTCCCATCGATGGTGTATGGGTAGGTTCAAACTCAGAGCATTCACCTGCATTGACAAACTTGGCCAGACTGAAATCGATAAGGACGGGGTCGAAGGTATCGCACCCAGGTTTGTTTTCCGGCGAATTGATCCGTAAGAGAATATTGTCCGACTTAATGTCACGATGAATAATCGAGTTTTCGTGCAAATACGCTATCGCATTGATAATACCACGTGCAATCTCGACCTTTTGCTTCTTTGTAGTAATTTTAGATAATGCATTAGCCAAGCTCCCGTCGGGGAAAAGCGGCATGGCCATAGCATAGGTACCAAACTCTTCGTCGTCTTCTTCCCCAAACGCGGTCTGAACATCGTGGATTGCAATTATGTTGGGATGGGAGTTTTCCTCTCTCAGGAAGCGAAGGATAGATATTTCCCTAAGAGCACCAAGTGAGATGCCATAGTCCTCGCTGTCCTCACTGCCGTCGCCCTCGTCTTCCTCGTCAAAGAGCTTCATGGCGTACTCTTCACCATCGTCGTCGTAGACAACGACAACCGATCCGAAGCTTCCAGATCCAACAGCATTGGTCCTGTGATAAACCTCAAGGGGGAGTTCTCCCGATGACATGGTAACTGGCTCTTCAAGTTCTGTGGAAAAGAGGCCGAATCAAAAATGATGCATGCAGCAACTCTGAAATCATAGGAGTGATGTAGAATTATGTGTTTGCCAAGTAGAAGTAGAGCAATAACGATGTGAAGAAAGCAATACAAAAATGATGCGGACAAGTTTTGAGAAAAGTTTCCGAAGGTATCACGTAGTTATGCGACTACCCAAGTACGCAGTACTGGTACAGTTCCGTATGGAGTACACGTACGTACATTTTGCATTTTGCAATCACTGCTGTTTGCCCGCGTATCGTACCGTACGGTACCGGTAGGGAGGTAGGTGGGTGGAGAGTTCAAAACAATTCTTTTCCGTAGTATTTCTACTTCGTATTGTACGGTAGGTATTTTTACTGATTTTCTTTATTTCCTTTCTCTTGAGGAGAAGCTAAGTACGAGTACTCGTACGTACCGTACTACTACAAATAATATTTAATATTTTGATTCGATCGAACTGAAACTTAACGGTTAGATGGACATGAAAAAATCTTGAGAAACAAAACCGAGATTCCCGTAGTCCCTCTAAAAATGCGTACATTATCATGTGAGGGAACAACGAACTCAAAGCGTGTCAAAGAAGGATGCGTGATACGTTAAACGAGTACGTTGAGAGGCCTCGTACGAGTAATGCCTACTTCCTATTTGTTTTTTGTCTTGACGCAGTGGAACCTCCTACTGGTAAGTAGTACGTAATGGTACCTTCATGTAAGCTGAAGTTAAATCAGCACACACGGTCTCCCCCTTTCAAGGAACGAAAAGAAAAAAATCAGAAAGCGATCTGATTGTTAGCAAAGAAGGAGATTGGAACTTGGTGAAACGAACCAATCGTCAGAGTCGCATTGTAAGAATCATAATCCATGGGATCGGACTGGACCAATCTTTCTTTCATTTCACCAAGTTGTGACGTTTTCTTATAGATTTATCACTCCGTATTTTTGTTACTGCAGTCCCTCTTCCATCCAGGATATCGAAAGAGTAGAAGAGTGAAATCGAGCGAAGATTCGATCGGGGATTGCTCTCGTTCTGTTTGAGTCGCTATTTTTATTCACTGAACCATGTCGGATTCGCGTCGTCGCTCCTCGCGACGCGGAAAAAAACTGGAATCGTATTCCGCCAACGATCTTGTGCAGGTAATTCCGAAATGTAATGCACGCGACACAGATGTGGATCTACTGTGTTGTTTGTGCTGCTGGTTCTATTTTGACAAGAATTAAACTTCCCATGCTTCTATCAACCAAATAATCTAATTGTTTGGTTTCTGGTTGTGAATTCCACATTTGTTCTATGAATTTTCTTTATTCTTCAGATTCCCCACAACAGCACTACGATAATCGGAAGGTTGCTGTACAAGCTTACGGAGCAGCCTTCCGTGCGCTGGCTGGTTGCGTTCGATGATGTTCCGAGTCGCAAGGACGAAGAGATTCCTGAAGAGGCTATTGGACCGGTAGTCGGACGTCTGGAAGCGGCTCCCAAGGCCCCCGACTCGACAAGCAACCGCAATGCTTCGAACCTGGTTACGCCTACCATGGATGACAGTAATGTCGCATCAACAATAACAAACAACGAGTCTGTTACAACCCGAAGTGTACGGAGGAAAAGCAACTCGGGGAGCAACTCGAGCAGCAGCTCGGACGACAGCATAACCAAAAAGAAAAAGAAGGGTAATTCCTTGCCCGCATCTATTCCAAAGGAGGAAACGGATTCGAGAAGCGAGATCGCCCAGGAAATACCTCAGCTGTCGCCCAAGATCAGTGGTCGCGAACGACGCAGTCGACGCCGCCAGGGATTGGTCGACGAGGAAACTCAGCAAGGAACCCTACTGCCGAGCTCCAACGCTCCGATTGCCACCACTGGTGCAAAGGTTGCCCCTAATGCGAAAACGGCCAGTGTGCCCCCGACTGAAAAGCGGAAAACAGCGCAAGGCAATAGCTCAGGAAAATCCCGGAATGACGATGCACCGAGAACAAAAAAGGGCAAATTTGGTCCATCCCACGTCCGCGGTAATGACGAGGTGTTGAAGGTCCAGTTTCTAACTGGTACGCTTTACTTATATCGTGGGCCGAAACGCCACGTCGAGTTCATTCCCAAGTACTAAATAAATAACCAACCCCACCCACGACCGATTCATCCATCTTTGGTGTGTTTGGCTTTTCATTCGAGCCAAGAAATGGCACTTTGTCAAGGGTTATAATCCATTAAGCTAGTTGCGGTCATCATATGCGTCATATTTCACTATTTCAAATTAAGTCCCTCAAACCAATTTCATAAACGACGACTGTTTATTTTTGACTTGTGCTGCGAACAGAGGAGCCACTGTACCACCCGGGCTGGAATTCTCCCACTACTTGCCCAAGTGATACCACCTCCTGTAGAAAAGCAGAAGTAGCAGCAGGAGCATATCCTTTGAACTACTAGAATGGCCTTTGTGAGACAATTCACAATACTGCTTGTGATAATTGTAACGTAGCACACAATTATTTAATCTTTGCTTTCTCCTTTTGCATCAAAGCTGGCTCTGTGGAAGGTCACTAGTAGTAGTAATGGAAAATATCACAATCATATACTGAGAGTCTAAAATACCATACCACATGCAACATAAACTTGACATACTTAATGAAAGTATACAACTAGTATTAGCTAGTGGGTACCTTGTATGAAACACAGAAAGAAGCATTCACATTGCTCAAATATTGAGCTTGTTGTTGCACTGGTAGACAAAGTTCAAATAACAGGACCTTATTATTAGTACTAGCAGTACTATATGTTTTACACCAGTTGAATACAGCAACAGGAAATAATTTTATGAAGTCAATCACAAATTCAGTCATTTAGTTATTCTTCTTCTTGTGGCATTTCCATCAAAATACAGCTCTCTCCTGTAGTACTAGAATACAGTAGAACTTCCTCTACAATGACATACTAAAACTTTAATTTGAAGCTCTTACCTTTCTTTGAATTGAGGTGAAAAACTTCAAATTATAGCTTGAATCAACCTGTGTTACTGAATTCAATTGTTTGAAATCTGTAGCATGGGACAGAGCACAAAGTGGTGTTTAAAACGAGAACTGGAACTTTCAGCATGAAAATAATTKGAACTGTAACTTTTTTTGAAGGCTATTGTAAAATTATTAAAAATCATACCGTCCCCTAATATAAACTTACTTAGAACAACTTTTCCTAATTTATTTGGCCGGCAGCTCAAATTCACCAAAATAAACAGTAATTTCATTCCTTCAGCACGGGCGCTGGCAAAATAACTGGACCATTAAGTAATTTCAGCACAGGCTCCTATTACGGCAGCTCAAATTCACCAAAATAAACAGTATGTTCATTCGCTCCAGTCTTACGGCAGCTCAAATTCACCAAAATAAACAGTACTTTCATTTGCTCCAGTCTTACGGCAGCTTCACTTGACCAAAATAAACAGTAATTTCAGCACAGGCTCCTACTGCTGAAACGGGATCACATGGTACTTAGAACAACAATTTGAGCTGCTGGCCAAGCGCCCGTGCTGAAGGAATGAAATTACTGTTTATTTT